TAGGCATTGATTTTCTTCATAACAGACTTACATTGTTGCGCTGATTAAACTTTAGACCTTCCTTTGTGATACAAAAAAAAAAGTGGAAATTGGTAAGCTAAAGAGGATTTACATTACAAAATTTTTGGGCTTTTGTATTCATCAAACTGTAATTCAAGCTCTGAATTTAAAGCTTCTGTGTATATTACCCTTTTTATACTGCAACAATTAACATGTAAAATACATGCTGATATTACAATTATAAAAGCGTTATGTCTGTTAGAACTGCTAATAGTCACATTGCTTCATTTTTTTTTATTCTATGTTTGTCAAAATCCTGAAAGCAGACTCTACAACAATGGTAGATTCAATGTTGATATTGTTGCTCAACAAGAACATTGATTATGTCTTAATACGAGATATTCAGTACATAATATATGTGATTATCATCTTAAATGAACACAACCATTTATTTAGCGTCAACTGAAATTATTTAAATCGTAAGAATTTTTTTATCTGGTTAGTATTATGAAGGCATTAGTAACAGCTATGATATGATAGAACACTACTGATATAGTATTATGCATCCATACATAGTTTATAAAAAGAATTATAAACAGAAGTGTTGAGGCATAGTTGCATTGTTGCAGAAAAAAGTAATATTCACAAAATAGTAAACCCCTCTCTCTACTGGTAATAAGTATTAAAATAGCCTAAAAGGATACTTCAAATCCTTACAAGAGTTTTGAATATTCTATGTGGTGTTTGCTTCCCACCTACTGTTTGCTTTGATCTTAGCAACAGAGTACTTAATGTAAAGTTGGGAATTCCTGTTCTCCCCAGTTGGTTTCAGATGAAGCACTGAAGTGTCAAATGAAGTATTGGGTGTGCTGATACTAATGGATGTGCAAATGGAATTGCACATCCACTGTTTTTCTGGATGTGCAGTTCATAGGTGTGTTACAGTAACAGGAGAGCAGTGGTTGAAGTTATAGGCACTTCATGGGGGACACCCAGCCAGGGGGAAACATTGGAGAGATTGTTTCTGGAGTCCATCATTATCTGGTTTAATTCAGCACTACCTAAAAGTAGCCACTTTGTTTGTTCCACCTGTGTGTAGCTGCACTGAACTGTTTATTTCCCTCTGTTGTGATTAGATCCTGCTGGCTTTGTCAGGGATCTGAAAAAGTGCCTTTCTGGCTTCTCATTGCTTTACTAGTGCTGCACCAGTTATGTCAAGGCAGCAGGGGAGAGAAATCTGATAAGTATGCTAACACTGGTGAGAATGGCAGTGGGAAGTCCTTCCAGGGAAACACTTAAGGAACAGCTCACCTCCTTGGCAAACCAAACAATTTGCCAGTGTCACCCCTGCAGTGGCTAAATGACTGGAGTGAAAATTTATGGGGACAGGAATGGTTCTCCTGCTGTAATTACACAAACCCTCTCAACAGTGTTTCACTCCACAAAGCCACAGTTGATAAATAATAAGCCACAGAAGCAGTGACTTAATGTTCGTTTATTAAAATCATGTGTTATCCGTTTTATGTTGGGAGTTGTTGCAGGTTTATGTTGCTAGCATCTCACTATCCAAATGGCAGTAATCAGATTGGTTTTGCAAGAGGTGCCAGGTCACTGCTTTGAGAAGCAGGAGGCCTGGGTTTAGTGACAGGCAACATCATGGTGGGACAACAGCGAGAGCAATCGTGGGGTCCAAAAATACTACTGATAGTGAGTTCTGCTCAATATATACATGTTGTACATATTTATACATATGTGTATATATGTATATATATTTGTATACATATCCCTTACCTGCACAGTGTAGCAGGGATGGGGAAGATGAAGGAAGACTGCTTTTCTTCTCCACTGCCCCCTCCAGGAGCACCCATTTCTCACAAGATCGGACCAAGTGCTCCCCTTTTATCCCTTGTACTGAGGTAAAGGTGCTGAGCCCAGTGAAGAGGGAAAACCCAGGGGGCTGCTGTGGCAGCTTGCACTGCAGCCCCCAGTCTCAGGGATGCCCCAACACAGACCTGGGCCCTCCACATTACCATCAGCTGAGGAACAGGTAGTAACGGCAGAGGGAACTACACTTTATCCACAGATCTCCACTCTCGTGCCCCAGCATTTACCAGTAGTGCAATAAATGACACAGATCCAAATTGCTACTAGTGCCTGAATTAACTGGGCTAATGTATGAGAGATGCTAAAAACCTTCTGTGCAATCTCTTAGTGAAAATAGTATCTGATGGGAACACTCCTTTGCTCTGGGTTTGGATCTGTTAGGAGCTGCTTTCTCTAACAAAGCAAATATTTGGTGACAGAACTAGATGTAGAAAGTGTTGCTTTGCAGGAAAGTGTGAAGTATTCATAATGATATGAAATGCTACTCAAAATTCAATGTTTTTCACATTCTGTTGTGAGCTTAAACATTGGACTCCTGTCACAGAAATTTCTGCTGCAGTAGACAATTTCTAGCATAAATGGACCTCCTTTCAATAGAAAATGGGACAGTTTTTAAAAGAAAAAAGGCCAATTTGTGAATAAAAATTGGCTTCTTTCTGAGCAAAGAGGCTTATAAACATGAAGTGATAAATGGCTTTGCAAGTTTTCCATACAATAATAACAAATTTTTAATCAAAATAATGAAAAAGCTTCTCCTAGAGGAGGGGGGGGAAAGCTCCATTCAGGTTTTAATACATTGAATACATTTTAGAAAATAAATGTATAAAACCTGTAAATTTTGTTCTACTCTGTCATCTGAATTTGGGTCTGAGACATGTCAGTAATATTTCTTTGTGTATATTTATGGTGTTATAAATCAAAATCCTGTTTGTGATTTGCTGCCTTCTGAGATTAATTTCATAGAATAATGTTGTAAAACTTAAGAAAATCCATTTCTTAGGATCCCCTACGTGGCAATGGTGTCTGATTTTCTAGTAGTCCATATGTTTTTAGAACTAAGCATATCTTCTGGTTTGACTGATGGATTAGACATGCAAATAAATAACTTTGTAATAGGTGATCTGATGAACATGTGACATGGCTGCTTCTCTTGTGGCCTAAAAATGCTTCAGGATCCAAGTACTATGGAGTTGGGATCTCCTTATTACATGTGCTCCTCTGCACCTGTTCAAGTGAGTCCTGAGGAAGGCCACAAAAATGCTCAGAGGGCTGAATCACCTCTCCTATAAAAAAAGGCTAAGAGAGCTGGGGTTGTTCAGCCCGGAGAAGGTTCTGGGAAGACTTATTGTGGCCTTTCAGTACTTGGAGGAGACTTTAGATGGGGACAGACTGTTTAATAGAGCCTCTTGTGATCAGACGAAGAGTAATGGTTTTCAACTAAAAAAGGATAGGTTCAGACTACGGATAAGGAAGAAATTTTTTATGATGAGAGTGGTGAGACGGTGGAACAGGTTGCCCAGAGAGTTGATAGATAACTCATCCAAGGGAACATTCAAGGTCAAGTTGTATGGAGCTCTCTGAACAACCTGATACAGTTGAAGATGTCCCTGCTCATTGCAGTGCAGGGTTAACTAGATCGCATTTAAAGGTCCCTTCCAACCTGAAACATTCTATGTTCTCTGCTATGGGATAAGCCCTACTACAGCTTCCTTGATTCTGCTTTATCTACAGGTGGTAGACATAGATCACTGTGCTGCTATATGGAGTTTCATACCAGTTTTGTTGCTGCATGTTAATTCTCTGGAAAAGCCTTAGATAAAGGACAGAGAATGTGTGATGTATCAGATGTGTGACCTTGGTTCTTATAAACACAGTTAGCCGCTAGAGCTGGTCTGAGTTTCAATTAGCCCTCTAGCAGTGGTGCCCTAACCACCCTTTCAGGCATCACTGTGCTGCTTTGCCCCTGTGATCCAGGCTTTATTTTTAAGTGTTTGAAAAAACATTCCTGAGCACACCTGACATTCTTACCATATAGTTTTAAAGGTCTCTGCAGCACTTTCTCATCTGTGTCCTCCACTGATGACGCAGCACATATGGCCTTTGGGCAGATGGTTCCTTACAAGGCAGCCATACAAATGGCGACAATAATCATTTTAATTAAGCGCCCACTCTTGTCTCCAGTGAAATCCATGTCAAAATTCTCTGTGAGTTCCGTGGGAGCAGGTTCTGATTCTGATCACAGCTCCCTTTGATGGGATGTATTACTATCCCGTTGTCCAGCTTGCAAACAGGTGTGCTTTCATGCCTGACGCAAGAGCTGAATAAGAAATGCTATCACATTCCCTTAGCAGAACAGTAGCCACAATTGGTTTTTTCCAAGTTATAGCTGTCTTTCAGTGGAGGAAAATTAAGTATGGCTTTTACAATGGACCTGTGCTATATGGTTCTGCATTAGGTAGGCAGTTAGATAAGTAACCATGCCTTAGGACTTGGATATCATAGATGTAAATCATTACTTTTATTACACACATTTGCTTTGTACAATAACAGGCAGTCTACCCATTTTAGAAACTGCTTTCTTGTTTCTTACAGTGAAGCAAACTTAGATTACCATTCTAAATGCTAATAAACAGAATTAATGTGATTTAATAAAATAAAGTGAATTTATATGTAGATTGTGACATTAGTATTTAACTGTATACTTATCCTAACACTGAAGAAGCGAGTTGCTAAATTTTGGTGCACTGAAGTGCAAGTTTACTCTTTAAGTGCAGGTATATATTAATTTCTTTCCTCTTTCAAAATCTTCTTAAATAAAAGGGTAGATTATGTACTGTTTACAAGTATTATAGTATTCCTTCATACTTTATTCCAGCTAAGGTTTCCATTGTAGCAGCTGAAGACCATAGAAAGCTGCGCTTCTGATTTTGCAAAGCACTGTGATAACCATGATCTCTTTCTGTGCTATGTTTTAGTACATAAAATTAAGTTTTAGATTATTTATTTACTTATTATTTTAATGTGAATTAAAAATAGATTGTAATTTGCTGTGGGTTGGAGTTTTTAACCTTTCTTTTTCTGTTTTTGTCTGTTTGGTTGGTTTGGTTTTTTTTCAGACAATGGAAACTCCACAATATGAACTAGTTATTGAAGCTAAGGATTTGGGTGGCCATGATGTGGGACTATCTGGTACAGCAACCGCCACTATTGTTATTGATGACAAAAATGATCATGCACCAGAATTTACTAAGAAGGAGGTAAGAGTTTACCATCTGTGTTCTACAAAATGGTGTATGTAATTCTAACTGGTTTATTTCTAAATATAAAACTATTCCTTAATGGAAGAGAATACTTAAAGACATCTTTTTAGCTCAATGTGACAGCCTTCCTGAAGCTACTCTTTTCTTTTTTTACATTAATAAATTTCAAAACTCCTTCTTGCCTACATTCCAGATTAATGGTCAGGAACATGGATGAAAGCAACATGTTTTGTCCTGGATTCAGTGCTTCACCTGTGAGACAGCTAGTCTTGTCAGTTCTGTAATGAAACCCTAGTCCTAAAAGCTCTACATTGAACCTACAGGTGGAATTTGCAAGGAAAGTTTTTCCCCTGCAAGTTGAATTCCACTGAAGAATGCTGAAAAGTCTGGAAAAAAAACCCAAAACACTTAAACCAAACCAAAAGTTATTCACTGCCTGCAGGAGAGCATAATGGTGCTACAGCAATGTTTTTGGTTTCAGGCAAAGCATCTACCAAATTTCCTGCCCTTCTCATACTGCTCTCTTCCTTCTCCTACATTTATTATTAATCTGATTTTTTTAATTGTTTCTTTTTGCCTCTGGTATCTGGAGGGGATGAGGCAGTGTCAAAAGTTTTACCTAATAACAGGTAGTTTGTATTTTCCTGTAGAAGTTTCCTGAGGCTCTGCAGATTTTAAGGAATATTCCCAAAAGGTGGGAAGTAAGCTTGAGGGATGCTGATTTTAAGGTAGTTTTAGAAGAAGAAAAAGAAAGCCTATTGCTATAGAAGTCTTGAGCTTCTCCTTAAGGTATGTTTTTACCTTGTTTCGTTTTTCTTTTCTAGCCTAATTTTAGCAATTTGACAACAGATAGCTTTGAAACAAATTACTGCAATTTCACGTCAATAATTATTTATTTCATAAATGCAAAGTGGAGAAACAGATTTAAAAAAGGTTAGAGAAAGGTTTGGGTTTATTTTTGCTTTTGTTTTGTTTGGCTGGTTGGTCTGGATTTCTTTTTGTTTAGAAAAAAAGAACAAACAAGAAACCATGACAATTTTTGCCAACAGGAATATTATTTTTCACTAATCATTGGTAATTGCTACTATTACTTAAGTAAATGATTTGGCAAGCACATTTCAGTCACCTAGAAAGTACCATGGAGAGCCTGATTCAAACCTTTTATGTCCCTAAGTGATAACTAAGTGGCTTTTATCAAACTATTAATTCTCTTAGAATTACCCTTTCAATCAAGCTTTTAATACTCTGAAAGCTGTTTCCTGACAATCAATACTTAAAATATACTCAAAACATTTTTTTTTATTTTTTTTTAGCCCTCTTTTACATGTAAAAATGTAAAGGAAATGTAAATGTGAAATAAATGTAAAAGGAAATGTAAAATGAAATGTAAAAGGAAAACTCAGTCAGTGTAGAAATGCGAAATGATTGTATTAGCAATATTAATAGCAATTCATGTCAATCAGAGTCATGCCTACTTGAATTTCCAGACATTGAGATTTCTTCTGAAGAAGAAATATTTCTATAATAGTATGTTCTGTTTGACTTAATAGTTTGGTAATTTGGGCAAGTATGCTAAAAAACTTGTGGGCCTGCCTAGGCAGTATCTATTTCTGTGGAAATTGAGACAGTAAAAGGTACTCTGTACCCTTGAAAGTCTGGTGGTCTCAGTATAGAAATAAAATAGCAGGTGTGAAGAGATAGCATTATGTTGCTTTCTTGCACTTTATATCACATGCAAATTTCCCCATAGAGACATATTTTTTCTTTTTTTTTTTTATGAATCGTGATATGTTTTTGAACTTTTCACTATTTAGAGATGTTAATGACCTCAGAAATCTTCCCGCTGCTTTGCTAAGGGATATTCTTACTCCATGAATAAGGCAGGAAAAATCTGTCTTTATACATATGGTGCCAGGCCCCTTTAGAAACATATGCTCTATTTAAAATAGAAGTGTAAGAGGAGGAAGAGTGTCTATTAATAGAGCTAATACCACTTTATTTGGCTTACTGCTTTATGTATTTAGTTGTTTTAAAATACCAGTTGTATACCACATGATGCAATACTTCTGATTTGAACAAGACTTGAAAGAAAAAGACATATTCTACAAGATAAATTTTGAAGCAGAAAGCTCAAATTCATTAAATCTGAAGGTTTGATTTCAGAGTGCAACCTCTTTTATTGAATTTGAGATTGGCTGCTTGAGGATTGGGCTCTTATGCTATGGACACATTTTCCCAGCTGTCTTTCTTCTATTTAAAGTTACTTTTTCTCTATGCATTTTTGCCTTTTATAAAACAAATGCTTATTTACTGACCTATGTTTTCTTCTGACAGTACAATTTCCACCTAAAATAACTCTGCCTTTATTTGTCATATATTGTTGATGAAGCTTAATTAAGCCAAGTTTTCAATGTGTTCTCTTCCTCTGTAAGTGCAGGGGTTAAATACATTCCTGACCGGACACAGTGAAAGCCAGTGAAGTTACGAAAGCTGGATGTGTTCAATAGTCAGGGCAGTGTATGAGTGCAAGACTGGGTACCCCAGACTGCGCTCTAAATGGTGTGTTGTAGAACGCAGAATGCATTGCTATAAGTTTTTTAGTAAGTACATGTATTATTTCAATAATGTTAACATAAAGGCAGAAGTTTAATGATTTTTTTTTTTTCATGGCTTTTTCCAAAATTGAAATTTTTCATATTTCTATTTCCAGGAAGTCTTATATACGTTAGCAGATATTTCTTTGGTTTCTCAGTACAAGGCAGTCTCAGCCATGCATGAGTATAGCTCTGTCCACTGAAGATGAGTTTTATCTTTTGCCACTTGACCAATCTCTTCCTTTTTGTTTATCCAGAATCAAGCTTAATGGATCTACCCCTAAGCAATAATACACTTCTGCGTACTTCCATTTACTGTATTTTGCTCTTGGGAGGTCATGCCCTTACGCACCTATTCAAAATATTCATTATCGGCTTTAATTATGTTTTTGGAGAGGTCTAAATGATCCTTCGCTGCTGTAAGCATTCAGTAGCTTCAACTGGGTTTATGTATACCTTGCTGGAAAAGGGGGCACTTACCTAGTGAACCTATTTTTCCATCCGCTGTTTTTTAACCTGCACTCCACACCCAGGTCGTTCGGGTGCAGTTATGGCCTTCATGCTTAGGGAAAAATTTTGTTGATGGTGTGTCAGAGCATAATCACAGAAGAAGCTGAGCAATCTGGCTGCGATCCAACAAAGCACTTCCATTAACTTCAGAGAAATAGTTTAAGCCCTTAAGGTTATAAGCACCTGCCAGGTACTTTGATGGGTTAATGTATAAGACACTGCTTTATGGGATTCAGCCCAGTAAAGCATTTTGTTCCTGTCCCATCATGCTATACACACTTTTGACTTGTTCTATTTCATGTATATATAGAACCAGAGAATCATAGGGTAGTTAAGGTTGGAAAGGACCTTAAGATCATCTGGTTCCAACCTTTCCTTCCTGTTCATAATAGGCTCTGAACAGAGCAAAAATCAATTCAGACATGCAAACAGTACCCTGTTCCCTCTGGGGGTTTAAATAATTTAATCTCTAATGCCTAAAAGAGCAATGTTTTAAAAGCTCCTCCAAAAATCCCAGGTAACAAGGTCTACCTTTTAAAAGGTCACAGTAGCTGGGATATTGTGCCAGATTTAAATTATAAAGAATGAAAATAGAGATACTTGTAATGTTAGTGACCTCTATTTAAAATTTACAACCTTATTTCTATAACATAAAAGAATTTTTAAATTAATTTTGTGAATTGTTACTGAATACATCATGTATATTGTATCACAAAGAGCAACTTGGCATTTCCTTTCCAGCAATTTCAAGCCTTAGGTTCAACTTTTTTTCAGCAGCAAGGGATTACTTATGTGCAAATAACAAATGAAGCAAAGCAATGAATAGGAATTGATCATTCTAGAAAATCTGATACCTGGTTTGTGTACTGCAGGATATTTAAACTGTGTGGAAACAAATTAGAGTGAGTGAACGCTAATGGTGCAAAGTATTGTTTTTATACCTAGCACATTAAGAAACATGAGAATTACTTTCTAGTGTCACTTTAACAGTCTGTGACTGACCATGCCAGTGTAGTATGACTGTAAAACAGTCATTTTAGTCTATAATTAATAGACTGTATTAACTATATAGTTGTTATTACATAGTAGTTACCATGGTTGAAGTAACCACAGTTACTTCGCTTTCACTATAATGACACTGTAGTTGAAGTGCGATGAAAAATTAACTGTAGCATCTGCTGGAAGACACAAGCTGACAAATCCTTCTCTTGTATCTGTTCCTGTAGTCATGGTTCTGCGCAGATCTTCCCTAAAACATAGTGGAGGAAAAAAAACATTGTTTCAACATAACAATGGTACAGATTTGACCCATTCTTGTCTACCTCTCCTCCTGTAAAAAAAACAAACCAGTCCAACGATTCCTTCTTCTGGTCTTACATCATTCCTAAATGTAGAGTACATGCTCAAAACTGGGAGTCCACTGAGTATATTTGTCTTCTGCCTTCTGTCCTTCCCAAGGAAGAAGATTCCGTTGCTGCTCTGTAGTAACACGTTTTTTCCCCTTAATATATATATTGTCTTTCCATAATAAATTATTTCAGACACTTGAGAGAAGAATGCAATGAGGGGATGATTTTTCTACAGTCCACCTAGTTCTCCCATCTGTCCTTCATCACAGATCTGGGACAGCAGTACGTCCCTGAAAGTAGTGGAACGCTGAAAAGGAGTGGGACTTGTCAGAGTGCTTTCAGTTGCACTTAAGAAAACAGGGCCTTCTTTTGGCCAGAGAACAATCTCATTTATGAGACAATTCCTCTTTTTGCCACTTCCAGTTCAATGTTATCCATTCCTGGGACAAAGCAATGTAAAATAGAATTTTTTCACATCAGGGAGAGTAAGATATGGGAAAATACTTTTCCTAGTTTAGATTTCTTTGAATCTATGTTCTTAGAA